CCAAACCACACCCACTGCCTGGAGTCCATTCTGACCCACAGCGCCCCTAGAGGACAGAGTGGAACTGCCCACAGGGTCTCCAAGGCTGTCCATCTTCACGGAAGCAAAGCCCAAACCACACCCACTGCCGTGGAGTTCATTCCGACCCACAGCGCCCCTAGAGGACAGAGTGGAACTGCCCACAGGGTCTCCCAGGCTGTCAGTCTTCAGGGAAGTGGACTGCCTCCTCTTTCTCCCATGGAGCGGCTGATGGGTTTCACTGCTGCCCTTTTAGTCGGCAGCCAAACATTTGACCACTGCGTCACCAGGGCTCCTCAGTGGTGTGAGCAAGAGACTGAAAGGGCAGCAGGCTCCCTGGTGTCTCATCTCTCCCTACAGAACAGCCCTGGGCAAGGGCCAGGTCCAAGCAGCACAGCCAGGGCAGGGGGACTAAAGGCCCCTGCCCCTTTGTAGGTCCAGTGGTGGGGAGGAGGGTGAGGAGGGAGCAGGAGGCGGGGAAAGGCACCGGTCACGGTCATGGTGGAGACCGTGCTCAGCTGAGGCCATGAGATCTCAGGGGAGGGGCCTGGGCTGAAAGGCAGAGCCCTGTGAGCGTGGCTGCCTGGTGTGTGTGGGGGGCTGAGTCCCGAACTACAACACTCTGCAGAGGTCGCAGCACACTGGCCGTGCATCAGGTGTGGGTGGGAGGGCCTGCCAACCCAGCCTGTAGTTAACCCTGGTGGGCCCTGAGAGCGCCTCCACAGGGTTCTGGCTTGGAGCTGGACTCCTGAGTGATGGAGGGTCTGACGAGGTGCAGGCCACGATGGACGCCATGCAGCCATGACGCTGTGGGACGTCAGCCCCGCCTGGGGGCTAGACGCCATGCAACCAAACGCTTGGAATGCCTCTGTCTCCTACATCCACTGCCCAAGCGCAGCCCCATCTATTACCCAAGTCCACTGCCTGAATCCACTGCTCATGTCCACTGCCCACGTCCACTGCCCAAGCCCACAGCCCGAGTCCATTGCCCACGTCCACTGCCCAAGTCCCAGTGCAATCTACTACGCACGCCCACTGCCCACATCCACTGCCTGAGTCCGTTGCCAGTGTCCACCGCCCAAGTCCACAGCCTGAATCCACTTCCCGTGTCCACAGCCCGAGTCCACTGAGCACACCTACTGCCCGAGTCCACAGCCCACGTCCACTCCCTAGGTCCACAGCCTGCCCTGCTGCCCTTTGCTGAGCTGGTTAGGTGCAGAGGGCCGCCTGAGATGGGTGAATGGGAGCAGCCCCATCCAGCAAATGTTCTGGGAAGTGCTGCCCACAGCTGAGGCCACTGGTCACGTGGGAAATGTGGGGGGTGCACTGGGGACTGGATTTTCAGTTTAATTAGGGTTTAGTTAAGCCTGAATTTCAATAGCCACATGTGGCTGATGAGTGCCTGCTGGGGGTGCAGGCCGGGGTGTGCCTGGGGGTGCAGGCTGGCGTGTGCCTCCTGCGGGGGCTGGCGTGTGCCTGGGGGTGCAGGTCGGTGTGTGCCTGGGGGTGCAGGCTGGCGTGTGCCTTCTGCGGGGGCTGGTGTGTGCCTGCTGGGGGTGTAGGTTGATGTGTGCCTGCTGGGGGTGCAGGCCGGGATGTGCTGTGCTGGGGGGCAGGCTGGCTTTTGTTCCCTGTTCCCATCCCCACAGCACGGTGCTAACACTCAGCCACGTCCACACACGCCATCCCCTCACCCTCCCGACGGCTCTGGCACTAGCTCTCAGTGATGTCCCCGTGGACGGATGGGGCAGTGGAGGCAGGCAAGGCCTCAGTCCGTTCTGCTGGGTGGAGCTTGAACCAGGCTGGTCACTCTGTCTCTGATGGATGGGTGATGGAACGCGTTCTGTGTACCTGGCTTTGTGCTTGGTGTGGGGATGGGCGTGGGGCACAGAGGTGCACAGGAGCCTGGATTTCAGCTTCTCGAGGGGGGATCCCATCGACCGGACCGGCTGCTTTGTCAGTGGGGCTGCTGGCGGCAGACAGGACCGGCCTCTTGTGCAGGGCTTCACTCCCAGCAGAAGCAGGAAACGTGGGCGGCGGTGGCCGGGTGAGGGCAGGGTGGCAGGAAGAAGCCCAGACAGCCCCCGGCCAGGCCCTGGGAGAGCCCGGGGAGTGGGTTTGTGGCAGAGTATTTTGGGCCTCTGTGCCACTAAATTGCCGGCTCCCTCTGCTTCCCTGCCCCGTGGAAACCAACCACAGGCCCAGTGAGCCACCCAGGGCCCGCCTGCGGGGACCGCACCCTCGCTGCCCCGAGTGCAGGTGGGGGACCCTCAGGGCCCTGTGCTGCAGGGACAGGTGACAGGGCAGCCGGCCTGCCTGCTGATCAGACAGGGGACGCGTCTGCCTCCAGACCCAGACCCCTCGGGCTTCTCCATGGAAGCCACTCAAAGTACAGGCAAAATGTTGTTCTCAGGTGCCGTCCAGTCGGCCCTGAGCCATGGTGACCCCAAGTCCAACAGGACAAAACACTGCCACCCTCACGATCCCTGCTCTACCTGAGCACGTCGCTGCAACCACCGTGCCAGTCCACCTTGTTGAGGCCCTTCCCTGCTTCTCTGACCCTCTTCCTTACCAAGCACGACGCCCGTCCAGGGAGGAGGCCCTTCCGACCACGTGACCAGAGTACACCACGTCCCCTCCCCCTCCCATTCCCTCCTCCATCTTTCCTTCCTTCGGCCCTGCCCTTTTCCATCTTTATTTTGCTCTCCTCACTCCCTTTCTTTAAGGAGCTCTGCTGACAAAGTGGTTAAGTTCTCAGCTACTAACCAAAGGGTCAGTGGTTCAAACCCACCAGCTGCTTTGCAGGAGAAAGATGAGGCAGTCTGCTTCTGTGAAGA